CAAATAAATAAAATGTGTGTGCGTGTTCATGCGTGGCTAAAGCACAGCAGTTGGCACAGTAGGGGGTACAGGTGGTGGCCTCAGCCAGTCATCTCGGTCATCGCAGTCAGTCGACCCTTGGCACCTGCTGGGTCTGCCCCGTGATCTCCTGCCAGCGGGCGTTCGACACTTCACGTGGTAGCCTCAAGGTGCACATGGCCTGGCACAAGCGTCGTGGTGACGTCCACCGCCACTTAAGTGGCGAATGGCGGTTGTTGTGTTTTGTTCATGCGTGAAAGCGGCCAATGTCACGAGATTGTTGACGCAGTGGCATGGGGGGCGTGAGCAGCGAGGGAGTTTCGATCGACCGTGGGTGGAGATGGAGGGATGGGATCGGCTCGCGCGCGTTGGGAGGAGTGAGACGGACCGATTAGCGCGGCACTGGGCCGCGAGAGATAGCGACGGACCTGGGAGGATTTCGATTTAAAGCTTTCGTGACTGCAGGGATTCATCTTCTTGGTTCTTTCGGTAAAGTCACGTAGAAGGGAAATAATAAAATAATAAAACATAATAAAATACATATTCTTGGTTCTTTCGGTAAAGTCACGTAGAAGGGAAATAATAAAATAATATAAATATTAAACAATACAAATTCTCACGACGTTTAGACTGCAACACAAGCAATCATCGTCAGATGTGAAATCCACAGCAATAATTTTGTTTTCAAATTTCTTGCTGTGGATTTCACACCTGGTGATGATTGCTGTGTTGCAGTCGAAACGTCGTGATAATTTTTATTGTTTTATATTTATATTATTTCATTATTTCCCTTCTACGTGACTTTACCGAAAGATCCAAGAAGATGAATCCCTGCAGTCACGAAGCTTTAAATCAAAATATAATAAAATACAATTCTCACGACGTTTCGGCCACAACGCAAGCAGCCGTCCTCAGGTGAAGAACAGGGCTGTCGGAAGACAGCTGTCTTTTTATTACTTCCCTTCTACGTGACTTTACCGAAAGAACCAAGAAGATGGACCTGGGAGGGTCTTCATTCAGCAGTGGATAGGCAATGGCTGATGATGATGATATTGATGAGTAATAGAGGTGTTGGGTGGTGGGGGTCATTCGTTGTTGATGCATGAATGGGCTTCGTAATCTTGAAATGACGTTGTTGACGGAATCATTCTGTATTCATAGGAAACGAAGACGATGAGCCAAAATGTCTGTGTGTCCCGCGCGTGACGTCACTCCACGTGGGCCAACTTCCCCCCCCCCCCCCCTCGTTAATAATCATGAACAGGCGACGTCCTCCACATGGACACACACCCCCACCATAATAATAAATTAGCGGGTGACGTCACTCCACATGGGGGGGGGGCGAGGCGCCTCCCCCCCCCCCCTCCTCAGCGTCAACTTACAACCCTCACTAAAGGCAGAAACCCTCATGTCACGTGATCTCCGTAACGCTATTGAGACATCGAAGTAAAAAGGACGTCATGATGAACAAGGGATTATAACCTTAAAATGAAATAGGTCTGCGTCACCGCGGCCTTACAAGCTGCACACGAATTGATGCAATGAATATATCACGTCGGGGTCTGCTTTTCGCTTGCAAGTTTCAGATTTACTGAAATACACCCGTCCTTGGACGGGCAAAAGACGCTGTCTCCCCGACATACCTGGTCTTCACCTGAAGACGGCTGCTTGCGTCGTGGCCGAAACGTCGTGAGAATAATTTTATTATGTTTTATTTTTATTATTTTATTACTTCCCTTCTACGTGACTTTACCGAAAAAACCAAGAAGATGAATGCCTGCAGTCACGAAAGCTTTAAATCGAAAAATAAAAGGCTAGTAATTATACAATGACTGACAGCGCTGTCAAGACACTGCTGGGTGAAGGCCGTACAAGTACCGGTATGTAAATGGTATGTAAATAAATAAAATAATATCGTGGCCCGTACGGGGATCGAACCCGCGACCTTGGCGTTATTAGCACCACGCTCTAACCAGCTGAGCTAACCGGCCAGCTGATAGGCAGCACCAAGTCTCTTGTCATTGATTCTCAGCGCCAATCGAGACACGGGGAAGCTGTCTTTTTGACAGCTCTGTTCTTCACATGAGGACGGCTGCTTGCGTTGTGGCCGAAACGTCGTGAGAATTGTATTTTAATGTTTTATTTTTATTATTTCCCTTCTACGTGACTTTACCGAAAGAACCAAGAATATGAATCCCTGCAGTCACAAAAGCTTTAAATCGAAATGTACAGCTGTGTCCACTGTTGGATGAAGGCCTCGCCGGTCATGGGGTTTGACCATACTTCACCACGCTAGTCAGTGCAAATTAGTGACGTGGGGGTGGTGGGGATATTGGTGAGCTCGTAACCTATTCCTATACAATTCGCCACTGTCGATTTCCGTGACGGGGAGTCGAAATCAGGTCTCAAATTCGCAAGCGCTTGAATTTCACCAGGAATTAATTGAAACTTAACGTCTCTTTTTGCAAGGGTAACCAGGAGCGATCTAAGCATACGGAGCTCATAACGGCAATAGAAATCCAGTTGCTTATCAGTACTACGTACATTGCCTGGGATGTTATATTGTAGAGAGTTGGAAACACCCAACTGTGAGGTTGAGTTTAAGTCGTGTTAGGGTCACGGACTGTACCTCATCAGCAGGATCATCATCAGCAGCAGAAAAATCCTCATCAACGTCATGAGCAACAGCATTGGTATCATCACTACCGTCCGTTCCTCTGGGGTTGCTAAAATGAGCAGGACATTGTCAGGCATAACTACTTGGTGCATACAGATTACCAGCGGCCCCCCGCCGCAGGAATGTGGAATGTCCACCTTTGGCACTGGACAATGTGAAGCGCTGCTTGTGGCTGTCAAAGTGCGCCATCTGCTGGACGATGTTACGACTGCCAGAGAAAGGCATTGCGGTCAATCTTCACCAAATAATTGTTTAAAACAATTACATGTGATTATGTTTCAGTAATAATGGGTTATGATAGTATTTCAGTACAAGCTGGATAAAAGCACGTTTTGCAAGCAAGTGCATGTTTTAATCCAAAATGTACTTGTATCAGGTGCCCTGTGAATATCTACACCAGTGAAATGTTGCTTATATCAGAACTGTGCTTACATCCAGCTTATTCCATATAAGTATGCCAGAGCAAGCAATGATTTCGAACGTGGCGAGGGACGAAATGACCAATCAGAAGATTTGAGAATTAAAACAAAAATAAACAGATGCAAATTAGTGAAACATTAAATGAATGGAATTGAGCAGGTCACCAGAATGTTTGTCGGCTTTCGCGACCAATATTCTTCACCCGAGGACGGCTGCTTGCGTTGTGGCCGAAACGTCGTGAGAATTGTATTTTATTATGTTTTATTTGTATTATTTTATTATTTCCCGTCTACGTAACTTTACCGAAAGAACCAAGAAGATGAATCCCTGCAGTCACGAAAGCTTTAAATCGAAATCATAAACGTTGTTGGGTTAGATCGCATAAGTATGGTAACCCTCCACCACCCGACACAGCCAATTAACCCAAAAACCTTGATTATGAAGAGACAGGTGAGATGAACAACATAACCGAGTTCGATGGAAGGAAGGAGCAGGAGACAGAACATGAGATGGCGCATTGGGATCCTTGGATGAAATTCGCATTACAAATGTCAATTATTATTATTGTCGGAACGAGATCAGAAGCTTTGGAGGCTGCCTCTGGATGGCATTGGCAAGAAATCAGGAAGAGTGGAAGATAATTATCTTAATTATAATTAAGGGACCACCACAGACGCATTAATGCACGTGTGCTCTGGGAATTGTTTAACGTCGACATTGCACAATTCACGGCCATTACCACCAAAGGAAATGAATGACACTTTATATTTTATTATTTCCCTTCTCCGTGACTTGACCGAAAGAACCAAGAATATGAATCCATGCAGTCACGAAAGCGTTAAATCGAAATTTAATGACACTTTATTAAAACTGCACGCTGTAAATTAAGGTACAATATCACACGTCATAAATTCATTAAAAAAAACCTTCACTCGGATTTCTTTAAGCATTCACGGCAACACAAAGAACACATTAAAAAAGTGATTGTAAAAAATATACAAAATACATTCACCACGTGTCACGAGTGGCCCTCTCATACTCGCAGTTTTTCAGCTTCAAATCCAACCATTAAAATAAAGTCCAAAGCCATGCCTCCAGATCCATTTTAGATTAAGAGAACTAAGCAAGTTTATTGCAACCAATAGGACTAATCATTGCATAGAAAAAGGTTACAAACTTACTTATTTCTCAAATGCTGCAAAGCTCTGACCGACCGCAGGGTTGGTGGGCAATATAATTTTACAACTATTATAAACGGTTTCACTTGAAAGTGTTTGTCACGGTCTTTCACGTAAAAGGCCGAGTGGGGCGAGCCAAAGCAGAACAAGGGTCGGTCAACCTGGCAAGCCAGAGATGCAGGCTGTAGATGGAAAACTGCCCGTCTCAGACACACACGCGTATAAGGCACATGGCAAAAGGAATGTCAGAAGTCGACTCTACAACATTAAACACAGCATTCCCTCGCTATTCACGAATGTTGTCCGTGACTTTGGGCTATCCGTTGAATCGCATCTGGAACGCTGCACGACTGCATCGAGACAAAGTGATGAGATCAAGTGACCGAGGAAGAATGTGATAAAGTGACGAGATTGATTATTTAAGGTCATTAATTAAAATGATAGGTTTTCATTCTCCGCCACATTTGCTATTCACCAGCATCTCCGGAACGGTTCAGAGAGGGAATACTATTCAATAAGCAAAAAACTAACAGATTAAAATGACTAATCCGTTATTCTGAGCCATGGTGTGGACATTAACAATAAAACAATTGGCGATATTTAATGGTTAAAATGGGGCTTTATAGTTGTTACTGTTGCAGTAACTACGTGGGAGGCACTGGGCCATTCACAGCATCTTGATCACATAAATATTCGTTTAAATGTGGACTATGGGATTAAAATTTGCGTTCAAATTGTAAACAAGACCTTGGGAAAATTAAGCTGCGCGTGTGACCCCTCTCGATCGACAGAAACCAGATGATCCAGATTAACCAAAAACTCAGAAGAAAAACCTTTACAAACACTAACTAGGCATATACAAACGTTCAAGTTTACACCGTACATGCGAATACGATTGCAGGCTTATATACATAAAGCATTAATGCACGTGTCATCCTTATCCTAAGCACATCGGGTGACGCTCGCTGCGATTTACATAGGGATTGCCAAAACAGTGCTGTATACACGCACATCAGTTCCAATGCTGGTCAGTCTTCATTGCTACAGACAGGGCGCAGAATGTCAACTCCCTTCAGAACGTCACCCTTTGAACATTTGTAACATCGTGTGCAGTGTCACTCGCTTTGTCCACAGTGTCCGCAGCCTGTATACTGTGACAGCAGCTGGCTCTTAAGGAGATTATCGCCAGCTACCGCTGGGTAATCACGACAACTGCTTTGCACGACCGTGATTAACACCGTGCCAAGCGGGTGGCCACCGTTAAGTTTCTTAACCTCATAACATCTCATCAACTGCCGCCAACCCACCAACTGGCCTTGAGGCAATGACAGAGAACACTTCAACGACTGCAATCAACAAATTCTTCCTAATAAAGTGACGGTATTCAGTGGCAAGATGGCAAACGTTCCCAATGTTCCTCCGTGCTCGAAGGAGACACGCCGGAAACGACAGCCATGTTAGCACCGTTCCATTCCGCGTAACGCTTCGCGCAAAGGCGCCGTTTGTCGATCGCGATCGTGGTCGTGCAGTATTTGTCATCCCGCGAGCATCAGCAATACAGCGCCGACAGATGTGCAGTCTATTTTCCAGTGCAAACGAGGCGCCAGCTGCCCAACGCATTCGCGACGACACGGCCAACTTCCCCTCCGCACGTCGGCGCCAGGAATTCTTCAGCGATGCGCTTTAAAATCCGACTCCATCCCGAGCCACGCGATGGGAGCAGGAGAGACACGGGCGCGTGCGTACACACGCAGCCTGCGATTCACATTATATTCACGTTCGTTAGACCACAAGGCCTCGTTTCTTCTTCTTCCTGAAAATGCCACCTTCTGAACCTATTTGGCGAAAGGAGGTGACCATCTCATAGGTCGAATCGAAATTCATGAGCCCTTGGCATTCACTTCATTTAACCGCGTTTGCCATCATAATCTGATATGTACAGCATATAATGCATAGCACAGGTAAGTTAACACATTGTATGAAAAAGCAGTGAGGCCGAGCATTCGCATTGCCTTGAGCCAGAGTGATGGAGGGGTGCAGGTATAATTATTTGTTTAAATGACATGTCAGTGGTTATTACGAAGGACAGCCGTGGGCCGGCTAGGAAGGGCAAATTCCTAAGCTTCTAACAACTCACATAGCCGCCTTTAAAATTGCCGCACCGACACTCGCATTATAATGGTGAAGGCACAGTGTACAAGAAACGATCCATGTTACCTTGAGCGAATCGAAAACATAACTGCATAACCGATTTGCATGCTTAAACTTACATCGGGAGCCAGAAAGGGGAGCACGGGGATGAGAGAACATATGCCAAGCTAATGACATTAGCCAAACTATTGAGAATGTGGACTTGAGCAGGCTTGACACTTTGCTCAAAAGGATAATGAACAATGGTCAAGAATAGGAATGTATTAACAACCAAGAAATAGGAAAAGGGTCCGAGGGAGATAACCTTGGAGGAGATGGAGCAATGAAACCAGTCCATGATCACGTACTGGTTGGATTTTTGCATCGCAATAATAACGAGATGACGCATTCATACCTCTTAGGTTATTTGTGGAAGTTTGTAATATTATCAACGTGCCATTTGTGTTTCCTCAAGTCCAATTCATTGATAAAGACTGCGTTTATGAGGAGGATGCACTAATTTCATGGTTGTAGCATTTTTCCATTCCAACCGTTGTTGGCATATCCAAGATCCATTGTTTCCTGAACTAAGACTTTGGGCATATTAACCTTTTCAAACGTTGAATATAGATGCCCAAATACCCACTTAGGCATGGGGGGTTCTCTCATCATCCGGTTGACCCAAAAAAATAATTTACAATTTTTCTCCCATAACTTCGCTAAAAAAAGTTAAATGAAGGTTTCGTCCTCCTAAAATAAGCACCAGGATATAGAAGAACCCCTGTTTTCATCAGATCTCCGCCAGGTACTATTTGGTGCAGTTGTCAAGCAAATGTTTCACTACAGTACCCCAATAAACTAGTTTTTTGTGCCACTCAATGGTGACTCCCTTGGAGGTAGCTGGGATGGTTGTAGTATTGCAGCCGGTATTACTGATTGTGGATTTGAAACGGAAGTTCCAACCACCCAATGATTAAACTGGACTCTCATGTGCAGCCAGCCGATGGGTCTCAGCCAGCCACCAATGACTGCACGAAAACCATCATTATATTTGGCTTTTCACGTAATTTTCCAAATTTCCAGCTCTGAGAATTAAACATTTCGGTTTGATCGGCATACGATGAACATCTCTACAGCAGAACGTGCGATAAAGAAGTGTTGTGCGTGCTGGTTGTGTGGCGAGATCATCAATTGAAGGGATCTCACAAGCAGCTGGATCCTATGTTCTTTCATTTCTAAATGTAAAACTCATTCCTTTAGGACTGCTTTTTGTATTTAGTTAGTCGTCCTTCCCCAATGGTTGGCTACGTACGGTGCGAAAGAAGTTCAACATACATACATACATAGGCACTGCTCTGAATAACGAATGGATACTCCGTCACATGACATTGCACCACAATTTGCAATAAAACTGGGAACACTAAAAAATATATACAACAAAACTAATGTAGCTTACTCAGGTCACACTAGCAATAGAGACATTCATCTCAATCTCTCACCTAGTCCTCGATAAAAGTAGTCAATGACCTAGTTGAGAGGCCAACAATACCAAGGCGACGCAGGCACCGAATCCATAGACCTAACCTGGTCGACTTCAGGTGTCCACAGGCGTTTCCAGGTTGGGGGGCGGTGGGGGGGGGGGCGTGGTGGCGGTGGCTGGGGTTGTGACCATAGCCGGTGTGGCGCATTCAAACATCTCTCGGTGGAAGAAATAAAACGGTCGAGTTGGCAGCTCTACTCCTCCCCACCACCACCAACCCCAGGCCCTGTGTCACAGCCGCCTTAGGTTGCGCTTGCTCTGCTTGGTGCCGGGCAGCGCCTCCATCGGCCCCCGGCGAGCCGTCTGCGCGGGACTGCACGGGCGTGCCCCGTGCCACAGGCACTGGCAGATTGCGCAGAAGTCGTACGCGCACGACTCCCGCGTGCACACCGCCCGCTCCTCCGCGCAGCGCAAGCGCGCCGGAGACTGGCAGCGCGGGCACTTGCGCAGCAACTCGTCGCTGTTGAGCGTGCGGCCCACCTGTGGCGGTGGACAATGAGAAAAGGGCGTGATGACAAAGCATTTAAGGGATATATTATCGTATCTGAAGTGGAGGCACCTAGTTTCTACTTCTACTGACAGAATTTAACATCAAGCATTCGAGTTAAAATAAATTAAGGTGAATTGACAGTAATATTTCATGCTTTTACACAAGTATGTGTGGTTAATGCAGGCTTGATGCCTTGCAGTAGGTATCTATTTGAACATCCTAACACCTGTTTTATTGTCAGAATAGGGGAAAAGCTTATTCGTATTTTTTCATCACATAACAGAATCACTATAAGTGTCTCCATACCGCCATGAAGCGCTCGTGCTGGCTGCTTGCTCTGCTGCTCGCTGCCTGCCTATTCGTGGGCGATGGTGTCGCGAGGCTTTGACCGGACGGTGCCAAGGGACTGCCCCTGGGCACTGTCGCCGCGTTCACGCCTATGCACTGCACCGCCGACAGCACGGGCCGCACCGCCTGGTGCCAACGTGTGCCGGCCACGTCCTCGCCCGCCGACGGGTTGAGCTCGTTCTCCTGGGGAGGGAAGAGTGACAACGAGGTTACGCTCAAGCAACCCACAACGAAAGTCTCCACTGCTGCCCCACTGCAATAGATTTCAGTGGATGGATCATGGGCTGAATATGGTCATTGGCTAATTGTCATGTGACCTTTTCCCGACTTTGACATCTCCAGGATAAATGAAGATTCCTAATGTGTGCTTTAAGTAGAATGGGTTTAGTGCCACCTATGGAGCACTGTGCATGGCTACAGCTGACATCACATTGCATTCAGATTTTGCCGTGTTGTGCCGTGTTGTACTGCGTTGTTATAACACGGTTCTGAGAATTGATTACTTTCAATTCACATCAATAAGTGTAAAATCAGCTCAAGCCTCACGGAAATGACGCGACTTCTGCGTGGCCGCACACTAAGCAGCTGGAGTCATTGACGCTCACTGCCCCCATACGTACCTTGTGCCAGATCACGGGCACTGATTTGGGAGTCTCCTCCTCTGGCAAGAGCCTCAGCGCCCGCTCCCGGTCCACGACAGCGCGCCACACTGCGCTCACTTTGCGCAACCTGCCGCAAAACACATACCACTTAGCCACGTGTGCCTTTCACCTGTCCCTACAACAGAGTTAGTAGTCCCGAGTTGTGAGACTTTATTGGGCAAATAAATAGCAATATTGCTATTAGAAGTGGTGAAGCAGTAGCACAGGAGTAAGCACACTACACAATGAACCTGGCAGCAGATAACATACGTGAGAATCGATATCTCAAGCAGTCCTGGGGACCCTTCACCAACCGGCACTGACCAGTGTGGTAAATTCTAGATTTGAAGCTTTCGTGACTGCAAGGATTCATACTCTTAGTTTTTTCGGTAAAGTCACGTAGGTAAAACAATGAAATTAAAATTAATAAAAAAATAAAAATCACGACGTTTCGGAGGCAACACAAGTCTCCGTCATCAGGTGGGACCGTCACAGCCAGATTTGCTGTATTGATACAGCAAATCTTGCAGCCCATGTATTGATACAGCAAATCTGGCTGTGACGGTCCCACCTGATGACACAGTGTGGTAAAGTATGGTAAATTAACTGCTATGACCATAGAGAAGGGGAGGGGGGAGCGAGTCTAAATAGATAATTTCCTCTTGTGGCCAGAGCAGCCTCCCGTGGTCCCCACCAATTGCTTACCTGTCATGGTCCGCCGCCGACAGGTACCCAAGCAGCTGGCACACCACGCGCTTGAGGCCCTTCTCCTCCAGCGCGGCGATTATGTCGAGAGACTTGCAGCCCATCTTACGTCCAATGAGTTGCTTGAGCGAGGGGCTCTCCCTCAGGGCGACGGGCACGGATGCGAGCGCCTGCTTCATCACGTCATTGAGCTGCGCGGGGCTGCCGTTGGAAAGAAACGGGAGAACCAATCAGCACGCGCGAACGTTCAAACCACGTGGCACGTTCCAATGCGATTGTTCGGCGAGCAACCACCATAAGGACGCCAGTGCCAGTCACCGCTTGGTTGGTTGTATGCGTTTTTGCGAGACTAAACCTGCAAGTGGATTTTATAGTTTAATAGTACACACCAAAAATGTGAGGAATCATCACTAAAGCAGAGCCAACGATGCTTACTGCTGCTGCCTTATGCCTCAGGGGCCTGATGTAGACGACTATTTTTTTAGCGTTTATGTCTTTCACGTGTAAGTTCTCTTAATCTGGTTTCCAAATCCCACATTTAAATCAAATAGTCCAGCAGAATTTAAATGCTTTGAGAATGAAATATGGTTATTGTAAAGCCCTCTGGATGCTATCCAAACTAAACAGTCGAGCACACCTGCTTGTTAAAGCACACTAAACACAAGACAGATATTTTTTTTGCATGACCACCCTCGACCCGCAGCAGTGAATATTTGCAGGGTTAATAAAGGACGCTCCATATAAAACATAGATTGCTTTATTTAGTTGGCATTTCCACAGCCATGGTGATCTGCTGAATATCACAAATCATGTTTCACGATCTGATTATTTTCTCTTTTTACACGCTTTTATTTAACTCACACTGTCTGTTGTATCCTCAACTCTGTCTGTTGTCGCATCCTCAAATCTTGTAACTCAATTTTACCCCACTTCCCAATGTATCGACTGCAAACTTGGTATACGTATGTCATACTGATGACAATACTATATTCTATCATAAAAAATTTGTTATATTTTTTTTAAACAATCTTTTTTATATCTTATGTTTCGGCTTGGGTCTAATTGTCCACAATCAACTCACGTTGGCTGTAAATCACCAGTCCCTTACGTTATGGCAAGCTTCGGGGCCACTTCCTGGAGTCGTGGAGTTCTGCCATTACTTGTACGGTACATTTCATTAAAGCGTGTTTAAAAAAAATATTACTTATCGTCTTGCTTTAACTACCTCGTTTGGATTGCTTCAGACTTTTTTAGTATAATTATGTTCGCTCCGCTAGCCTCAGTGTAACAGCAGAAAATCTTTTGTGTTGAATGTAAAGGGTCAATCCTAAAAGGTAGGATTCAATTCACGTATTTTTAGCATAAAAAATATATATCTATTTTAGGCGGTGACTGGGTGGCTCAGGTCAGAACTTGGAGCTGGAACTGCTGAGATCATGGGGTTGTAGTCCAGCCAGCAGCCTGTTATAAAACTGGGATCTCAAGGGCAGAGAGTTCCTGATCTTGGTGGAAGAACCAAAGACTGAACAAAAAGACAGCATAAAATTTGGTTGTTCACTAAATTTGACAATTCCAAGCACTGAGAATTCAAAATATTTTCAGTGATAGCACAGGTGGGAAAGTGCTGCCCCCAACTATGTGGACCAGAGGTAACTTTGTGGTATCTGATTCCGTGAGCTATTCTTTCACACAAAGAGGTGCATTGCTCAGAAAGTTACCAATGGATTATGTCTTATGACATGCCAAAAATTGCTGAATTGAGATAAAATAAGAAAATTAAAAATACTATGAAAAAATATCGATCTTAATAGATGAAATGTGCTTAGAGTGGCCTCTCAAGAACACCCTGAAACAACATTAACAGCACCGGAGAGTCACGATGCCCTATGGGTACCTGTGCCTCCACGCTGACGTCGATGCTCGATCCGAAGCCCCCACAGGCGTGGTCTCCTGCAGGCCCTGACGGAACCGCCACGCCACTTCCTGCTGCAGCCTCAGGGCGGGCGTGAGCACCGCATCGGCGCTCACCATCCCAGCGGGCGGTGGCGTGGCATCACGCGACACGCACGGGGGCGGCGTGTGCACGGCGGCGTTTCTCAAGGCACCTTTGACGCCATCTCTCGCTGTGACCATCCTCTGCTGGCTGCGCGTGTTCACCACTCGATGGCAGCTCGGTGAGCCGGACACCGCCGCCGCCGCCTCCTTCGCGTGCCGCGCCACCTGTACGTTGGCCCGGCCGTCATCGACGTCCGACTGGGAGCCGGCCTCGCGGATGGTAGAGAGGCGCTGCAAGCGGCCGAGTCTGCGGCTACGTTGCCACAGGTCCGGCGTCAGGTCGTCGCCCGAGCTGTCCAGGCTGCGCTCATCCGCGTCGCTGCCGCCCTCCGTAACGATGCAGCGCCTTTCCGAGAAAACGCAGCGAAAGCTGCTGTCGTCGTCCACCACAGGAGAACATGGCACCGCGTCCTTGTCGCCCAGTAAGGGAGAGCACCACAAGCCGCTGGGGGATGACAGGTCCAGGTTGAACGTGCGCGTGAGCGCCGTCACTGGCGTGCGGAACACGGAACTGGCGCCGCGCTCGCGGCCCCTGCGGTTTGGCTGCGGCGTCTTCAGGAATCGCGGCGAGAGCGACGTCGAGGCGCGGGCACCATCCAGACAGTCGCGGCCGCTCGTGTCGCCGTCGTCGTAGTCGAGGATGGAGGAGTTCGGCGTGAGTCCGATTCCAGAGTCTCGTTTCTCCGTAGTTGGCGAGAACAAGCTGGCGTTGGGGAGGGCAACATGGCCGGACACATCCAGTCGCCGCGTGTCCACGGTACCACCACATTCTGTCCCCTTGCCCACGCCGCTGTCGACGGCCTCTGCCTTTTTGCCCAAAAGTTCATCCAGGGTGTTACGCTCCCCTGCAGCAAAGTTATGTCGGCGGGATTTCGCCGAATCCGCAGAGTCCTCGTCTCGCTTCCAGCTGCTCGTCACAGCCGGCAGGAAGGGAGAGTCGTCCAAGTCCATGGATGTTTGGGACCACGCCACCACGCTCGCGTCTGATCCCGGGCAACTTCTGACAGAGCTGCCCGGAGCATCCAACCCCTCGTCGCCTGCCTCACGGGACACCTTGCTGTCGTTAGTGACGCTGGAGCCCAGGCCCGAGTCCTCGTGCACCGCCGTACGGTCCAGCGCACGCCTCTCATCGTCACAGAAGCCCTCCTCGTCCTCAAGGCCACTCGGGTCCGTGTGGCTGCATGTATCGCTGTAGGTCCTGTCGGGCTTGATGCCATCATCCCTGTTGTGGCGCGGGACCGCTTTTGAGTGCTGAGGCCGCCGCGTCTTGGCCACGGGGAGCTGCGTCACGGCCCTGGGGCTCACGCTGGACTCGCGCTTCCCTCCACGGGTCAGTGCCGGCGAAGAGTTGCACGGCTGGGGACGTGGTGGGGGGGCCCGCTGGGCCAGCCCAATCAGCCACTCTGGCCTCGATGACATTCTGGAGCACCCTCTAGTCCACGTTGCCTGAACAAAAATACAAGAGGCAACAAATGAGCTCGGGTTAACAAATGCGTAGCCATGTGAAAAAGTCAAATGCTTTTTAATCTGCTGTTCAGATTTACCCAACACTCAAACCAGGAGGAATTTTTTTTATTTTCAAGTTCAAGTTCATTTATTAGGTATAGCCCTGTGAGCCATTCGGCTCTTGAATCGGGTGCAACCGCAACAAACAAAAAACATATTAAAGTGAATATGTAACTGAGTGCAAACAGAAAATCCAAGAAAAGACAGCAAAATATTGCAGAAAAAAAACTTTACCCTGCAAATATATATTACTGCACAATAAACCGGTCTTAATATAATGCAGGCAGATCTAACGGTGCATGAGCAAAGCCCCAAAGCCCCACCGCTGTACGTTCAGATCGTGCAGAGTGAATTGCGATGGCGTTGCTAACCCATAGCAACACCGCCGCTACAGACTTACGCCACGGGGTTTATTTTTGGCGCCTCAAATTTCAAATTCGGCGCCTTTGGGACGCGGGGGCTTGCCCGCGCAACGAGCACGATTACATTTTCTACAACAGACAAGGGTCCAACCAAGCCCCTACCAGGCTACAATTCGCACTTTCTAGTGCACATAAGCCGATTGGGCCAAGCGTCTCGGAGCGAGCGAGCCGACTCCGGTAGCCAATCGTAACGCTGAGACGAGCAGCGGCTGAGTCAGAGTGAACTATCTTCTTGGTTTCGATTTAAAGCTTTCGTGACTGCAGGGATTCATCTTCTTGGTTCTTTCGGTAAAGTCACGTTAACCCTACCTCCTCCCTTTGTTGCTGCTAATCCTACATAATGCACGGGCATAATATGACTTTGAGACCCCCCCCCCCCCCCTTCTTCTTGGTTCTTTCGGTAAAGTCACGTAGAAGGGAAATAATGAAATAATAAAAATGAAACAATAAAATGCAATTCTCACGACGTTTCGGCCACAACGCAAGCAGCCATCCTTCAGGTGAAGAACAGGGCTGTCGGAAAGACAGCGTCCGATTTTTTTTATTAAATAGTATTTTCATTATTTTATTATTTCCCTTCTACGTGACTTTACCGAAATAACCAAGGAGATGAATCCCTGCAGTCACGAAAGCTTTAAATCAGAGTGAACTACTTCAACTGCAATAGATTTACTCTGCTTAGGCTTGATGATCAGTGCTGCGGAATACATTTCGCAGATCAGCTGCCAATGCGGTAATTTATTATTCTCGGATTTAAATGTCCTACGTGCTAATTAACTTACACGTCCATAATAGAAGTTTTTTTTAGGTTAAATCACGTAAATGTATATTTATATAACTGCGGGGCCCAAGCCATATTTATATGTTTACGCGATCTAACCTCCATCATAGATGATGTTGGTCGCGAAAGCATACGTGTTAAACTAACTTACACGTGGTACCGATATCGGAGACCCCATTAATTTAATGCAACCATCAGCACAGAATGAAGCACGTCAATAATGATGATAATTGGCGTGGTGGTGTTAGGGTTTGTATATTAATTGCTCCAGGACGTGTTAAACAAGCCACATCACCATGCTCTTGTAAACCGTTCAGGATTACAATATTACACGCGTTATGTACCAAACAGGGTCGACGCATTTATGAATGCCACAATAATTTCCAATAATCTTCCTTCTTAACGAGCGATTTAATAGTGATTTTGGTCAAGAGCTGACTATTAAGCTTGTTGTGATTGGTGGGAAAAATTCAGTGATGTTTTCACAATGTTTCTCTTATTTCAGTGGGGAGTTCATAAACGCATCATCCTATATTTTAGCCTATTCGTCTTTCAATCTGTTGGGGGTTCTTTAATTTGCAAAGAGGCTTCTTATGATGCTTTCAATCGAAATGAATAAATGCTGGCGCTTACACTGCGACGATTACATCACGATAATTACATCATAAATGACGACAATGTAATCCACAAATCAATCAGGTACAAGTGATGTAAACATTGTACAATCATTTTGATTTAAAGCTTTCGTGACTGCAGGGATTCATCTTCTTGGTTCTTTCGGTAAAGTCACGTAGAAGGGAAACAATAAAATAATATAAATATAAAACAAGATAAATGTTCTTTCTGTGGATTTCACACCTGATGATGATTGCTTGTGTTGCAGTCGAAACGTCGTGAGAATTTTTATTGTTTTATATTTATATCATTTTATTATTTCCCTTCTACGTGACTTTACCGAAAGAACCAAGAATATGATGTAAACATTGTACAATCAACTGAGTTCATTGTAAGGTGAATAATGTTGTGTACTAAGAAGCCGACAACCCTAGTTGGATACCCGGAGAGGGATGATACCTTAAACCTGGTCTCTCAACCCCCCCCAGCCGCCCTCATTGACCCCCGTGATTAACAAACAATACTTCATGATCTACGTATGATTATTATATTATTTGTGGTTTATACACACGTAATGTAGAGTAAATGAGATATACTTTGCTGGTTAATGTTTACTTTAAAACGCATGTATCGACTGTAGTTAATCACGCTACAGCATCCATGTGATAACGTTTAGCAGTATAATATATACGTGGAGACCAACCCATTCTCCGATACCTAACAATGAATAAGTTTGATAAACTTTGATTATAATTATAGATTGTGTACAGTGCAAATGGCGCGCACCACGTACAGTACAACGTGTACTGTATTAGTGTACGTACTCACTTTGTCCTGTAAGAGTTTAACACACAACTTATTGACCGTAATAACGATAGTAAGTAAGACTAATTAACAAACACATGATTATGTATATTATTTATGTACAATACATTTGAGTCTGTACTACACGTGGATCGCATTGTACAAACCCAGGACATTCATCATCATTCATAAACAGTATACATCACGTAAAGTATATATTTATAAGCATCATCCCTTTAACAAGTTAACGTGAATAAACCGATGCAAGGTTTGTTCTAAGGTAACGATACCGACTAAAACATATTGTTAACAAACGCGGACCGGCTCGCGTTCTGAGGTAAATCTTCAGTAATTTTATATTTAGTTTGAAAAAAAAACAACGTTGTCTTACCTCGTCAAATCACACGGTGTAAGAAAAAACAACTTGTGTTAAAAGTCCACTTTTGCTCCGGTGAATTAGTAGAACAAGATTTTAAAACATTTTCTAGACGGCGCCGCTAAAGAAAAAAAACCTCGGCGCCCTTTGCCGCGCTCCGTTCCAAACAGCGCCTCGCAGCTTCCGTTAAATTTCAAATTCCGTATCCAGAGCGCGCGATTGGTCGAGGCTTCGCGCCAGTGGACCAATGGGATCGCACACACGCGCACCTCGACCACGCCCTCTTTTAACATTTATTTGCCACGTTGGGAGGAGAGAGAGGGGGAGAGGTGGGTAGGGGAGGGGGTGCGAGAGGAGGTGGGTAGGGGAGGGGGTGCGAGGGGAGGTGGGTAGGGGAGGGGGTGGGGGGAGGGAGGGGGAGGGGAGGGGGTGGGAGGGGGGAGGGAGGTGGGTAGGGGGAGGGAGGGGAGGTGGGTAGGGGAGGGGGTGGGTGGGAGGGAGGGGGAGGGGAGGTGGGTAGGGGAGGGGGTGGGAGGGAGGGGGAGGGGAGGGGAGGGGGTGGGAGGGGAGGTGGATCGGGGAGGGGGTGGGAGGATGTGGGAGGGATGGGGGAGGTCAACCACACATTTTGTTTTTTTCGGTAAAGTTACGTAGGTAAAAAATTAAGGACGCTTGTGTTGCGCCCGAAACGTCGTGATTTAATTTATTAAAAAATGTTTTACCTACGTGACTTTACCGAAAAAACCAAAGAGTATGAATCCTTGTAGTCACGAAAATTTCAAATCTAGAGGTCAACCACGTTATGTATTTTTCGATTTAAAGCTTTCGTGACTGCATGGATTCATATTCTTGGTTCTTTCGGTAAAGTCACGTAGAGGGGAAATAATAAAATAATAAAATTTTATTCTCACGACGTTTCGATTGCAACACAAGCAAACATCATCAGGTGTGAAACCCAAAGCAAGAATTTTCTTGAAAAAGTGGCGTTTTTTTTCTTGCTGTGGTTTTCACATCTGATGATGATTGCTTGTGTTGCAATCGAAACGTCGTGAGAATTTTATTGGTTTTATTATTATTGTATTATTTCCCTTCCACGTTATGTATGCCGAGGATCTGGTAATTGCCGCTCACTCAGAGGAGGAGTTGGAGGCGCTGCTGCTGAACCTGGAGGGTGCTACTAAGAGGTGGGGCCTTACCATCAGCCCCACCAAAACTTAGCACCTGCCTGGGTATTTTGTACCATCGGGCAACCCACCCACACAACTCCCAATCGGTGATGGGGCAGTTGTGGAGAGAGTGGAGAGTTTCCCATACCTGGGCAGTGTGCTCATGACCAGCTCCGGTTTGACAGCAGAGGTCTCATTCAGAATCAGTCGAGCAGCAATATATTTTCATCGGTGGCGTAACGCTGTGTGGAAGCTACCTGATCTGTCGCTCCGCAAGAAGCGTCAGGTCTTCTCGGCCACGGTCATTCCATCCCTTCTCTACGCTTGCGAAACGTGGACCCCCCTAATGGAGCATCTTCGCCGGTTAGAAACATTTAGGCTGGCCTGCCTACGATTCCATCCTGGGTTTAACCAGGCTGGATTGTGTAAGGAGCTCACAAATCCTAGAAAGATCTGGGCAAAGTCCCATCGGTGAGCTCTTCCGGCAGGCAAGGCTGTGTTGGCTGGGTCATGTAGCCCGCATGCCCAGCCACCGCATGCCTATTCAGCTTTTGTTCGGCCGGATCAAGGGGGCTAAACGGGCGTTGCACGGGCTAGAGAAGAGATGGAGTGATGTGGTACAGGAGGACGTGGAGCTGAGTGGACTTGCCGATGACTGGTACCAGTGGTGTCAAGATCGGCCTCAGTGGAGGAGGCTCGTGAAGGACGCTACTGGGCAGTTGGAGGCAGTCGCCCTCCAGCAACAACGGAGGGCGGAGCAGCGACGCTCACAACAACGAGCGGAGAGCCGGGTGGCTAAAACACAGCGAGTTGGCAGAGTGGGGGGCACAGGTGGTGCATCAGCCAGTCATCTCGGTCATCTCAGTCAGTCGACCCGTGGCACCTGCTGGGTCTGCCCCGTGATCTCCTGCCAGCGGGCGTTCGACACTTCACGTGGCCTCAACATGCACATGGCCTGGCACAAGCGTCGTGGTGACGTCACCGCCACTTAGTGGCGAATGGCGGTTGTTGTTTCAGGGAGGGAGGAGAGGGATGGGGGAGGAGAGGGTGGTAAGGGGGAGGGAGGAGAGGGAGGGAGGAGAGAGGGTGGGAGGGAGAGAGGAGATGGAGGGAGAAGGGAGGAGACAGGGAGGATGGGAGCAAGATCACGTGATTGGTTTTCAGCAGAACGTGACGATTTCACGTTTTGCGATTGATTCGATTTCGACGAATCTGATTGTTGAAATGTTTTCTTTAAAAATCTGTTCAGCGATAGCTTCGAGTGCGATTAGATTGCACAGTTGTAGAGATTACGTGTGCAATCTGTTTTGATGTGGATCTATCGTGGTGTGATAAAATATTCGTAGAGAGGCAAAGAAAATCGAAAATTATAAACTTTTTCTGGCATAGAATCGATGCATGTTTCATGATGTTAAACATCGCTTTTAACGCTTAAAACAAAGGGGATTTACTAAATTAACCACCACTGTTCTAGATTTGAAGCTTTCGTGACTGCAGGGATTCATATTCTTAGGTTTTTTTGGTAAAGTCACGTAGGTAAAACATTAATAAAAGTAAAATCGTGCTGTGACGGTTCCACCTGAAGACGGAAGCTTGTGTTGCCTCCGAAACGTCGTGATTTTTATTTTACTTTTATTAATTACATTTTTTACCTACGTGACTTTACCATAAAAAACCTAAGAATATAACCACCACTGCACACTTAATTGGTCTATTGATATACTTAAATCGATTATTAGGCGCATCCAACATGCATCGAAAAATTCGTGCATTATAAAAAGGGGCCGTCTATAAATGACGTCACGCACCTAGGGGGGGGGGGATCAGACATTTGTGACGATGTGTGACGAGGGGGGGGGGGTGAGAAATGTGACGTCACATCAAAATGCGCAACTTTAAAGAAATATAGACAACACGTTCTACTTAATTAAATAGACTTTTTAATAAATGTTTTCTCCTACAACATCAGAGTGCAGCGCCACATTAAATACGCACTACAATGACAATAGTTTAAAGCGATTTGAAGCATGTTTAATTTTTTTGGAGAGGGGGGGGGGCAGAGCTTTGTGACGTCATATTTGTGGGGGTCTGACTTTTTGTGACGCCGTGACGATGGGGGGGGGGGGGGGGGGTCCAAAATCGTCCAAAATCGCGTGACGTCATTTATGGACGGCCCCTTACCGATAGACCCAAATAATACACACAGACATGTTTGGCTCATTATAGTAGTAAATATTGTTCAAGCCATTTGTTTACCTTTTCTATACTACTTTGAACTCCTATCGTGGTTTGTTTGTTCTGACGTTCTGACCCATCCCTACTGGACATCTGCGAACAAGAGCTTTATAGCTCATCGGATTCCTCCAGTACAAATAAATAAATATTCCGATTTTGCATCGATCTGCAGTGTTCCACGCATGAAGGAATGACATCGATTCCGGAGTTAAATCGACTACGGGAATCACCGAATCGTGACGTCCCTGCTAACCCCCTACCACCCCCCCCCCACCTCCCCACCACCCCCCCACCTCCTCCACCCCCACCACCACCCCCACCCCCCCCCCACCACCCCAACCCCCACCACCCCCCACCTCCCCCACCTCCCCCACCCCCCCACCTCCCCCACCTCCCCCACCCCCCCACCTCCCCCACCACCCCCCACCTCCCCACCACCCCCCACCTCCTCCACCACCCCCACCTCCCCCACCTCCCCCACCCCCACCACCCCTCCACCTACCTCACCCCCCCACCACCCCCACCTCCCCCACCACCCCCACCCCCACCACCTACCTCACCCCCCCACCCCCCCACCTCCCCCACCCCCCCACCACCCCCACCACCCCCCACCTCCTCCACCCCCACCACCACCCACACCACCCCCCACCTACCCCACCTCCCCCACCCCCCCACCACCCCCCCACCTCCCCCCACCTCCCCCACCCCCACCACCCCCCACCTCCTTCCCCACCACCCCCCCCCACCTCCCCCACCCCCACCACCCCCCACCCCCACCACCAACAACCGCCACAACCACCGCCCCCCTCCACCCCCACCTTGTCTCAGTAAACAGCGTCACGTGAGCGTTTTACGACACGGGCTTCAAAACACTTTACGACAGCCGTGAAGGGGTCGCTGTGTTAATCTACGGCAGCAGATCACTCGCCGCGCTGCTCTATCCGCGCGCGCGCGCATGCGGAGCGCGCTGCTGACAACAACAACAACAAAGATCAACAACAACAACAACAAAAATAAGCAACAGACACATTGCGGCTTGCTCGTCGCAATAACCGCAGTGACAAGAGAAGTAATTTATCAACGAAGCGTCTTGTATGTGTGGCAATAACATGTCAGCGCCGCTCCCTGCCGTCGTACCGGCGACCAGGAGAGCCACCGCCTCGGTGAGTGGAGCTGAGAGAGAGAGGGGTGAGTGAGAGAGGGGTGAGTGAGAGAGTGAGTGAGAGGGTGAGAGAGAGGGGTGAGTGAGAGAGAGGGTGAGAGAGAGAGTGAGAGGGTGAGAGAGAGGGGTGGGTGAGAGGGGTGAGTGAGAGAGAGGTGAGTGAGAGAGGGGTGAGAGAGAGAGAGAGGGGTGAGAGAGAGAGAGAGGGGTGAGTGAGAGAGAGAGGGGTGAGTGAGAGACTGAGTGAGAGGGTGAGAGAGAGGGGCGAGTGAGAGGGTGAGTGAGTGGGGTGAAAGAGAGAGGGGTGAGTGAGAGAGGAGTGAGAGAGAGAGGGGTGAGTGAGAGAAAGGTTGAGAGAGTGGAGCTGAGAGGGGTGAGAGAGAGAGAGAGGGGTGAGTGAGAGGGGTGAGTGAGAGAGGGGTGAGTGAGAGAGGGGTGAGTGAGAGGGGTGAGTGAGAGAGGGGTGAGTGAGAGAGAGGGGTGAGTGAGAGAGAGAGGGGTGAGTGAGAGAAAGGTTGAGAGAGTGGAGCTGAGAGGGGTGAGAGAGAGAGAGGGGTGAGTGAGAGGGGTGAGAGAGAGAGAGGGGTGAGAGAAAGGTTGAGAGAGTGGAGCTGAGAGGGGTGAGAGAGAGAGAGGGGTGAGTGAGAGGGTGAGCTGAGAGAGAGGGGTGAGTGAGAGGGACAGAGAGAGGGGCTGAGAGAGCGAGAGGGGTGAGCTGAGAGGGTTGAGAGAGAGGGTCTGAGCTGAGAGGGTCTGAGCTGAGAGGGGATGAGAGAGTGGAGCTGAGCTGAGAGGGTGAGCTGAGAGGAGTTGAGCGAGAGGGTTGAGAGAGTGGAGCTGAGAGAGTGGAGCTGAGAGAATGGAGCTGAGAGAATGGAGCTGAGAGAATGGAGCTGAGAGAGAGGGTTGAGCGTGTGAGCGTGGCTGAGCGAGCGTGCCAGGGTAACATGGAGTGGCGGCGGCTCGTGTTCACCTCCCGCGGTGTGATCCGCGGGGTTCTATAGAAGAGGGCGAGGGGGTGTCTGTGTGTCTGTCTGTGTGTCTGTCTGTGTGTCTCTGTGTGTGTCTGTGTGTCTGTCTGTGTGTCTCTGTGTGTCTGTCTGTGTGTCTGTCTGTGTGTCTGTCTGTGTGTCTGTGTGTGTGTCTGTCTGTGTGTGTGTCTGTGTGTGTGTCTGTGTGTGTGTCTGTGTGTGTGTCTGTGTGTGTGTCTGTGTGTGTGTGTGTCTGTCTGTGTGTCTATGTGCCTGTCTGTGTGTGTCTGTCTGTGTCTTTGTGTCAGCCTCGCAATGTGAACCACCAACCCTCGCCCGTTGTGAGTCGGCGGGAGGGTTTGGTTTGTTGTGGGTTCTGTGATATCGTGGGTGCGTGTGTGTGTGACGAACATTCGTGTCGAATGTTGTCACGGACTACAACCGCGATGTCCTTAAGGCAACGTTGCTGCCGTGATCGTGTAGATCTAATTGATTCAAAGTCTGGTTGGAGTCTTTAAAAAAAATGGTTAATTAGCCAAACATCGGACATGTATCAGGACCCTCCTGGGGTAAGAGTGTAGAGACTCGGGATTTGCCGAGTCAACAGATGCAATGCAGTATACGTAGATTAATATTTAATATATGCGTGGTCATAGATAGTGAGGAAGTTGACTCGGCATATCATCTTATCCCCTTTCCCGGGTCGATAAATTGAGCACTTGGGTTGAAGCAGTCCTCTTTTGAATTGGTTGACCCATGCCATAGGCACCTGGAATTTCCATCACTGGCTCCTAAGGCCACCCATGTGTGTCCTGTGTATGAGCGCCTCACGAATTGCTTTCATGCAGACGCATATTGTGGTGACTTTACAGTAATATGTGTGCCGTTCGTGATGTTTAACGTTTCGCAAAGCATGCTCGTAAATAATCCTCAGCAGCAGCCAGGATCACCCCACTGCTGGATGAGAGAGCCTACCCAAGCAATCCTTTCAGCACCAGCTGCACACGAGGTCATTTCATCGCTTCATCTCCTCGGAGGATGATCTCACCGTCCCCTTAATTCCCTTGACCGTCACTGACCGCATGCTTTTATGCACAAAACTGAAACTTTTTTTTTACTAGGAATCATGTTTACAATAATTACAAAACCTGCGGTCAGAATGCAAATAAAAAACACACTGATAATGTCATGCATTGTCCTTGAAATTGATTGAGGTTTCAGTTTTGTTGCCAGAAAAAAGGGGAAAACCCTATTATTTTATTTTGGTACTGGCAAAGGAGGCCTCATGATGTAGATGCTTTACTCCGAGCCCTCATTACTCTGATGGTGCGTTGTCTTTGAGTTGTGCGCCTTTTGGCGTCATCTGGTCGAACACCGTGTGAGACTGGGCTCTAAGGAAAGCTTGTCTCTGGTGTGGACCAATCATTTTCAAGGACAATGCATTCATTATCAGAGTGTGTTTTTTGTTTGCATTCTGACCACAGGTATTGTGGTTAATATAAACATGAATCCTTGTAAAAAGGTTTCAGTTTTGTTGCCAGAAAAAAGGGGAAAAACTGTTATTATCACTACATACCTGTCAACCCCCTTATCAGTACCTACCTTATTACAGACCAATTCATACTTTATTGGTCACCCATGCCCTTATAACTCTAAACGTTCATCCTACAAAGTTCCATCACAAGGGAGAAACACAAACAAATAGACAGAAAAATGTTTCCCGTATTCAAAACGGCTGTATGCCGTATAGACCTGCAAACTAAATTCCCCTGTACAAGAATACGGGGTAAACCGTATGGGTTGACAGCTATGGAGTTCATATTCTTGGGTCTTTCGGTAAAGTCACGTAGATAGGTTCAAAGAAAATAACAAAAAACTACGACGTTTTTTTACCTTGAAGACGACCACTTGTGTTGCGATCAAAGCATCGTAGTTTTTTGTTATTTTTCGTCATTTTCTTTGAACCTATCTGACCCAATAATATGAATTCTTGCAGTCACGAAAGCTATAAGTCAAGCTATGGAGTCGTATAATGAGTCTCAATGCGCACGCGTTTGCTTCATATATTTTTTCACTATAACTTTATCTTATTATTCGTATGCGCATGACACACGCGTGCGTTTTTCGTGTATCTATCCTGGACGAATAACTAACTCTGTGCAGCCGTGCGAGCACAAACTCTAATTAAATATTAACGATTGACGTCAGTGGCTTACATAAGTTAATCAGCGAGCCCAAATGTCAAACTCCGTAGTGCGGTGCCTTTTCTTAACGAGCGGGTGGGTGCCACGTGTGACCGAGGCTGGGAAAAACACACTCTCTATCACGACACAAGGGTGAACAACACATTTAAGACAAAGACCCCCCCCCCCCCGTATCGTATATAGCCTCGAACAGATTTGTTAGTGCACGTGCTGGTAGCGAGCAGCACCTATTATATGGGCACATGTGGCTGTCTAACACCGCGCACAGCAGATTTTGTCTCCCCTAGGGCTGATGTTTTATGCACACCAGGTACAGTACTCATTTTAGGCTGAGTCGACCTAGCCGAGGCCCAGGGTCGGTTCAGATATTCACCCCCCACACACAGGCACACACGGTTACCACGTCTTAAATTATTTCTTCTTACTCTGACCTGCTAGGCACACTTTGTAAAACTACATGAGCTTCACTTCACGTCTCATCGGTCGTCTCTTAAACAATTAACAATACATATTCTTGGTTCTTTCGGTAAAGTCACGTAGAAGGGAAACAATAAAATAATAAAAATATAAAACAATACAATTCTCACAGCAAAATTTTCTTGCTGTGTTTTTCACACCTGATGATGATTGCTTGCGTTGCAGTCGAAACGTCGTGAGAATTTAATTGTTTTATATTTTTATTATTTTATTGTTTCCCGTCTACGTGACTTTACCGAAAGAACCAAGAGTATTAATCCCTGCAGTGATGAAAGCTTTAAATCTAAATTAACAATACAGTCTTTCAAAATTTGGAGAGGTGTTTAACATTCAATCTGCAGTGAATGGTGCTCGCATATGCAAGCGCTGTCGTATTTGGTCAAAAGCGCTTTGTTGTTGTTGTCGAATATATCCCACGAATACCATGTAGGCTTTTTCTGGTTGATGACCCATATCAGATTAGACACAGACACACCGACACATCGACCCTACGCAAGGCCGGGGCGACCACCTTGCATGAAGCCGGTGTTATAGACTGCTTCGGGACTCCGTGGCGAGCAGCAACGAGCGGCAGTGCAGTACAATCCGTTGTTATATTGCACTTTGCCTCTCCACCTTAACCAACCCGTGCCGGCCAGCACGGTGAAATATGGTCAAATAACCCCCACGACACCCACAGTGTGGGAAGCCCTTCATCCAGCAGTGGATTTATCGTAACTGATGGTGGTGAAGTTTTAAAAAACCCCAAAAACGCACGTAGCATGCACTAACCCATCCGTGGCTTCATTTCACTGGTAATTTTCAACCTGTCCATTGTGGACTTTACAAAACATCGCCGTCGTAGTTGGGAATGGTGGGGAAGCAACGCGGATGAGGTGGTCTACTTTTAGCAGGCTACTGTGGGCTCACATTTGCATGAGCTGATTTAGCCTTAGAGGATAATAAGGGCATGAAGCTGATTAGAGGGGACAGTGTAAATAATTGTGCTACAATCCTGGCTACCGTTCTTGGCCATAGCTGAGTTGAAATTTAGGTTTGGGTTTTTTTAGCTAAAGAAGAAAAATTGCCGTTTATTTCAGTGAAATGTGTTTAGAAAACTGGTAGGTTGGATGAAAAAAAATAGGCCTTATCAACAAAAAAACTACTTCACTTAAGACCAAAGCACATTCAGTAATAATAATACACAATTAATTGCGTATTAGCGGTCGTGTAGTACTTAGCTCACTGCGCTATGAACCTTGTGACCTCCGTTCCATTCAAGGCCACGGCTTACATCAGTGGCAAATGTGAACTTGTCCAGGGCCTCCCCTGGGTAGACTCATAAATGAGTACCTGGCGCGGTGTGTAAACATGAGTATTCTGGGAGACAAAGGCGGCCCCGCATAGTAGCGACCACACAACACCCCGTGCCGGCCTTCATCGGCGCTCGCTAACGGCACTTGCCCGAACAGCGCGTAAAAGGCTATCGGGGGGATCTTGCCTCTGCGGGTCGAACCATTGCTGAAAGAAGGATTCCCCGTGCCATACGAGCCATAGGTGATAGTCGACCATGCTGCAATGCTTGTCAGCGCGGGTTGGTAAAGATGGGGGAGCATCGCGTGGCACAGCAGTGGATCTTACTGCACTGCCCTCTTGTGCGCAGCTCCTACAGCACCGGTATATTCACGGTGGTCACCGATCCAAGCACGATCCAGCCTCAAGCCTGCCTAGCCTCAGAGATCTGACGAGATTTTGGCCAGTTCAAGGCGATCTGATCATTGGCATGGCGGTGGCTACGCACACGCCTGTAATCCAACCTTGGGGAGGCGAGGGTTTGTGGATCGCACAAATGTTGTGAAACTTCCTTCCCTGGCTCGTCCGGAGAAGGCGGTAGAGCAATTTGTGGACTCCTATCATCTGACGCTTCTGTATGGGATAGTGTTGCTCCCTCGCAAGCGTGGTTTTCTCCGGGTATTCCAGTTTACTCCCGCATGAAAATAAACGCTCATTAATTCGGCTGAAAACATCTTAAAATATATGCACCTCCCTCCTTTGTGGGTTGCAATTTGTGCAAGGTTGCGAAATGCGATTTTTTTTTGTGAATGACGCTCCTGTATAAATAACGCTCGTCATTTAATCGCTCGCTATGTATGTTTGTGTGTAGCTAACCTCGTATGGGCCCTCGCCGTAAGCATCCGGAGAGAGTGCCTAAGTTATATTTTACGTAGGTCGTTTTTGATTGTTGTTGTTGCGCTACACCCTGAAATGAGGAAGACACCGGTGACACATGAACACTGACCGTGTTTGACAACAGCACGCCTGAAACTGAATCGCACCACCTCGTAATTTCTCGGAATCTAATAGAGGGTTGAGCCCCGACAGCGCTTGGATGGGTGAGTACCATGCGTGCCAGGTTGTCACAGGCCACGCAGTGGGCCGCGCTTGGGCGGCGCAGCAACATCCATTGCTGTCAAATCCATTGCTCGCCTCCTTCTCTAGTCCGCATTGACCAGCTTGGTCAAAGTATGGTCAATTAACCTCCCCCCCCCCCACAACTCGCATTATGGCGTAGGGAGGCACCTCATCCAGCAGTGGATGCGCATGGCTGTGTTTCAGCGTTTTGGAGGCAAGGGTTGGTGGATCAGATGGAGATTTGCAAAGCTCCCAAAACCACAGGGCTGCAAGGTGGGCAGGAGCTGGCAGTACAGCAAATTATATTTTTAAATCCATCTTTGTGGGGCTTTCAGTGTTATCCCTTGGGGTATTCTGGTCTCCTCACACATGCATAAACACTAGTTCGTAGAGTTGGCCAAATGTCCCAACGTATGGCCACAGTGCTTAGGCAATTGTTGGCACCGGTTCAGTTTGCCCTCCCACTTGTTTGTGGTTCCTGCGATTCGGAATAATTCTCATGAACTATTTGCATTGGCGAGATGTTAACTACCTCGCCTGGTATACAGGAGAGGAGGTCATGGGAATGATCCTGACCCAGATGCCTGCTGTATATTTGGAGTTTGCATGTTCTCTCTCTCTCCGTGGTCGCGTGGCTTTTTCTCTGCGTCCTCCGGGTTTTCCCTACATATTTATAAACAACGTGCGTTTAGAGTATTTGGCTGCTATAAATGTACACGTGATAAGCCACTTCGTTGGGTTATGACTTGTGATGGCCAGGTTGCTTCTGAAAAAGAGCTATGTAGCTCAGTGGGCCTTACATGGTAAAATAAAAAAAATAGCGGAACATTTATTTAGTTGAAATATGAAATAAAATGTAAAAAAATCAATAAATACATTTTGTGGGGTCGTGTTCGGTCCGCGTGCCTTGCGTTTCTTACCCCTTGTGTTCAGGCACACTTTGACCGTGTTGGCAGTGACGCTGCGCGCTCATGCATCTCGACGCCAGGCGAAGATGTCATGCATCAACGTTTGCGGTCAGCCCTTGGTTTCCCCCACAGCAATGACCTTGCACTCCCTGGGAACACGACTCATGAGACACTAAGGCAGTGTTTTCAGAGTGCTTGTTTGAGCCAGGCTAGGTGTCCGCCCTAAGTGTTTTTAGGTGGAGCTACAATGTAATAATAATAATTTATGAAAATGTGGTGCGTAGTTTTCGTTCACTCTAGGAGCAAAAGAATGATTCAGAGGCACGGGAAACCACAGACTAGCGGAAAAGCAGCCACAGCCGGTGCCAACAGTTTCCCAAGCTCTGCGGTCCTATATTGGGACGTTTGTTCAACTCCATTCAAGTGTGTTTATACACCCGATCATTATACAATCGTTAGACGTGTTACGTTTTTTTTGGCCACTGCTCCGATATTGCGCGCACGCAAATGAAGCACTGGAGCACGGAGAACGCCACGTTTTACGCACGCGCAGCTGGAAAATACTCGGGGGGGGGGGGGGGGGGCAATGAATGAAAGCCCTTGTGGCTGTTACTGTCCCGTGGAGGGACAGAGCTGAGCCTATTTATGTTTCCTCATCACGGTCGTCCCCGCCGACCCTGGACGACGCTCATAATGGTCGTAAATTCTCACCGTCGTCGGCCCAGAACCGCCCGCACGCCCACCCACCCACCCACCCGCCTACCCGCCCTCCCACAGGCCCCGTTTCTGAAATACACATCTCGTTTTCTACTGCGTCGTGATGGAGAGCCACTGCAATTTTCTCTCTTTATCCGCACGGATGGTTTTATAATCACGATAATTCAACGTAGAGCCTGCCGTGCCGCGGTCAGATACGGTTCGAGCGCCGTGTCGAGCCGTGGGGCTCTGCCGGGGAGAGGCACCCACACCGCTCGTCTACTCGGAGGCGAGGCTACAATGTGGCCAGATGTTAACTACCTCGCCTGGTATACGGGAGGTCATGGGTTCGATCCCGACCCTGATGCCTGCTATATAATTGGAGTTTGCATGTGTCTCTCCCTGCAGTCACGTGGATTTTTCTCCGGGTCCTCCGGTTTTCTCCTCCACATTTAGAATGAACGTGCGTGTAGTTGAGTTTAGTGTGCTCCCTGAAGAGGTGGCTGGCCTGGCTCTAGGTGTTCATAATGGCCGTGTTGGAGACTCAGAGCCACCACCACTGAGTTCCAAGGTTTCAGATCCGGGTTTCGGTCGCCTTTGATCGAATTAGCTTCTCGATTTCAGTTAGCCGATGGTCTCAATATGGTTACTAATTACCTATTTAGCTTTTTATCTTACCAGGTAAGGCCCACTGTGCGATATAGCTCTTTTTCAGAAGTGACCTGGCCACAAATGATATCTCAATGAAGTGGTTTGTCGCAACCAAATACTCTAAAACTCATGTTCTTGAACGTGGAGGGAAAAGCCGGAGGACCCGGAGAAAAATCCACGTGATCACGGGAAGAGGGAACGTGCAAATTCCAAATATACAGGTGCCAGGTTTGGGATCAAACCTACGACCTCCTGCATACCAGGCGAGGCAGTTAACATCTCGCCACCGCGGCGCCCCCGACAGCAATTATAATGACACATTGCTGACTGGACTGGTTTTTCACTTAATTTGGTTGGACAACGAGGTATGTGCTGGATCATGGGATGTGGTGGGCCGTGTGCCGTGTGATGGGTCGTGGGCTGTGTGAAGGGCCTTGGGCTGTGTGGTGGGCTGTGCAGTGGGCCGTGGGCTGTGTGAAGGGCCGTGGGCTGTGTGATGGGTCGTGGGCTCTGTGATGGGACTCCGGGATGTGGTGCTGGTGAACGTTGCTCTGTGTTATGGAGGTCACCCTTTTCCGGGGAAAGGAAACGCAAAAGAATCGGCCGAGCGGCGGTGGAATTGGGAGCGTTGGCAGTCGTCGTTCGTCACCGTTAGCGTTTCGTCAAGTAAGCAAAATGGATCAACACGGAAAAAGAAAAAACACAATTTGGCACATTCCTTGATGTACATTCACAGAAGGGTATAAATGAGATGGTTTGTGGGTTTCTGAGTGAGTGGGTACGTGTGTGGGTGATTCAGCGAGTGGGTAGGTAAGCGAGTGCGTGCTTTGGGTGTGTGAGTTACTTCCTTTCTCTGCTTCACTTTCTCTGTCTCTTGTCCTTTCCCTCCCGCTCTCCGTGTGTATTTCTGTCCTCTGAGACGGCATTTGTTATGTTCTAGCCGCATTACAATTGCAAGTTGTTGATTTTATTGTTGAAACTTTTGAGCGAGCGACGGGGAAGGAATGATCATCGGTGCCTTCGTTTGTCGTGAGTTCTTTGCCACCGAAACTTCTGACGCCACGTTTTTTTTCCTTCCATCCCCCCCCCTCGTTCTCTTCCAGGTGATTTTTCTCCATGGCCTTGGAGACACGGGGTACGTGGCAAACGCCGTCTTACCATCGTCACCATCATCATCAATGATACCGCCAGGCGGTGTCGCATCCTCCGCTTGTTGCAGAGGTTCACGCGGTTCTAGCCCAGCGACCACCCCTGGTTAATGCCGCGCCGTCTGCTTTCACGGTGGACGTTAAAAGACCCCGTGGCATTTGCTCGAAAAAAAGAGTAAACCGCGTGCGTGCCGGCTTCACCGTCCATTCCCACCAGTTTTGAACATTCCTCGCCAAAAATTACCGAATCGGGTCAAGCCACGTGGCACCGTCACCCGTGAGACTACGACCGCAGACCAGTACCCGTCTGTGAAAAGCAGCGCCTTTTCGTGACGATAGCCTTGCGCGGTAATGGCCCAGATTTGCTACGAATGTGCTCAAGATTCATATGTATGCATGTAGCCAACTGTGCTGATCGGAGGTGCGGGGGAAGGACAATAAACTGAACACAGAAATCGGTTCTTAAAAGAAATTCGATTTGATACCATGAGAGTCCCCTTCGTCGGTTGAGCCAGGGGTGGCGGTGGCGGCGGCGCCAGCGATGCACGCCCGTTAGCCACCGCTGGACAGGGATGGTAGATCACGCGGCGATTTGTGGGACTCGGGAAGTATAGTCCAGGCGAAACAGCTGAGTCTTGAGAGAAGACACAAACGGGGCGAATGAGCTCGCCTGTGTCACCACTGGTGGAGAGGGAATTCTGTCGTCTTGGCGCAGCGCATGCAAGAGCTCGGTCACCCCAGGTGCAGAGTCTAGTTCTCGATACGTGGAGCAGATATAAACCAGAATATCGGAGAGGTAGTGACGGTATGCCCAGGTGTTTCAGCCGTTGAATGTAAAATGGTGCGAGGCCATTTAAGGCCTTGTATGTTAACAGCACTACTTAAAATTGTAGCCGAAATTTTATAAAAAGCCAATGCAGAGATTTTATTATAGGAATGGTAATGAAGCTCGCTTGAGCATTGTGGTGGCCGCGTTCTGGACCAGTTCAGCCCAAGACCTTTGTCGGAACCCCGAGGCATGGTGGGTTTTCTCCAGGTCCTCCAGTTTCCTTTGGCATTAGTCGGACGAACATCCCGATGCAGCAGCACCCTCTGGAGTACTCGTATTAGACTCTTTTAGAATTTGTGGATAAATAAGTGGAATTGTTACGGGCTTATAACCAATACCATGGATATAAAGCTCCAAACGCTGTGTGTGGCTCAATTGAGATACCAACTCCAGGGTTTAATCGAACCACGTGGTACAACGAGTGTGAACCGCACACACTGTGCAGCACACAATGCATCTGGAATATACACACAGTACACACGGAATATACACACATGGTACACATACCGACCGCACAGTGAACTACGCAGTCGAACACGTCACGTAGCACACAGACGCGCACATCACACACCGCGCACGTGGTGCACAGTACGCAGCACACTCGGCGCACACATCACATTCAGCACACGCACTCATATCACAGTACGCACAGTACACACAGCGCACAGTCATGGCGCTGTGTGTACGATGGCGAGATTACTACCGCTGCTACTGTGGATGGGTGGAGCCTTTGCGCCACTAATCTGCTTTAAGGTAATATGATTAGGGGCTGGTGCCCAAAGCTACACACTGAGCCTCTATCCATTCATCTGAGCACAGGCGGTGGCATGTGGGGATTTACATTCCACAAATATGAACACAGGGAAGATTATTTACACTATGAGATCTCTTTTACCAGTGGCAAAATATAATAGTAGGTTTTTACCCTTTTAACTGGTACAAAACTGACACCTTTATTCAAGGCATCATGTTTGCAATGACCACAACACAAGTAGTCAAAAAAGCAAACAAAAAGAAGCAACTCTGATAAGGATGATAATATGCACTGTCCTTGAAGTTGATTGGCCCACACCCGAGACGGCTTTCTTTAGAGCCTAGTCCCCATTGGTGTAGGGCCAGATGACACCAGAAGGCGTACGCCTTCTGGTGTCATCTGGCCCTACACCAATGGGGACTAGGCTCTAAAGAAAGCCGTCTCGGGTGTGGGCCAATCAACTTCAAGGACAGTGCATATTATCATCCTTATCAGAGTTGCTTCTTTTTGTTTGCTTTTTGACTACTTGTGTTGTGGTCATTGCAAACATGATGCCTTGAATAAAGGTGTCAGTTTTGTACCAGTTAAAAGGGTAAAAACCTACTATTACAGGGAAGATTGTTTCGATCAAAATTTATTACATTTGAATGTGTGGGTTCATTTGAACTCTCAATCTACGCAGCCTGAATTTGTTGAGAATGGTATCGGGTTTAACGCGTGTGCGCGTTTGTCTTTTCTGGTGGGGAGCGGTAGTGTAGTCGTTAGCGCGACGCTGCGTTACAAACCCGGCGAACCGAGTTCAATTCCCGCTCACGGCGAACACCAGTGATGGTTATCTGAACCGGTCCTGGGCCTCCCCGAGGTCGACTCAGCATCAAATGAGTACCTAATACTATGTGTAAACATCGCTACGAGGGAGGCAAAGGCGGCCAGGCATGGAGCTGGCCGCCCACGCTCCTTGCGTGCCGTGCCGGCCTTCGCAGGTGCTCGCTAACAGCACTTGTCCCCAACAGTCTGTTCAGTCTACACAGGAGATCTTTGTCTTCTGAGTATCATTGTCTGCAACATAATTACAAAGTTAATTACAAAGCTGTGGTGGAGCAGCAGAGCCCCTGGGCAAGAGGTTCCGGGTTCCAGACCTGGTCAACAGTTAAGCAACTCCTGTCCTGTTTGCCACTAAGATCATCATTGCTGAATCATCTTCGTCATCAACGTCATCAGAATCATCGTGGCTAAATAGTCATCATTGAATCATCACCATCATCGGAACGATTATTGTTGAATCATTATGCATCATCATGAATAACCATTTTCAGCATTATCAATAGTGAATGAACATCCATCCATCATCAGAATATTAATCATCTTTGTCATATTGTAATCATCATTATCATCATCATAATCCACGAATGCTACGATCATCATCCTCATCCGTCTAGAGTGGCTAAAATGGGTACAAACTGACACTGCACCACTCCGAGCGGGGTTGTCAGGAATGATCATCCTGCAAAGAGAATGGATCCCACCATGGGAATATGGAATTTCCACCGCTGGCTCAGGACAGCCATCAAAGACGTGCACCACCAAGTAGGGATTCACTTTGACATTCAGGAAAAAAATATTGCCCTTTACCCATGAAAGCCTCAATGGGTTTCAAAGAAACTTTTTTCAGGAAGGTCCTGCATTGGAATATTTGGCCAATTCCTTCGTGGAAGATTAAACAAACCAGAGTACCCGGAGAAAAACCGCCATGCATACGAGCGGCGAGCACTCAAAGTTCCACCCAGATGTGTTCACGATATTCACTCGGTGCCATCGAGAAGCCTGGTGCAGAACACCGAGTCGTGTCCCCTTCCACCGTCTACATGGATACTTTGAGGCCCTGTTTTGTGTGAGGCCCGGCACAAATTGCCAATTTTACTCAACCCCCCCCCCCACTCAGATTGACCGTAGACCTACTTGCTTTACTGCTGCCACATGGCCTCCTGACAGCAGTCACCCAGTGGGGTTGGTCGTATCTTTGCCTTAAATGGACATCCTGTTTTTTTTCTTTTTCCTTCGGTAGCCACGGCTGGGCGGAGGTGCTGTCCGAATTCAAGTCGCCGCACATCAAATACGTCTGCCCGCACGCGTGAGTGATGTCTCGGCAACACCCGCCGCCCCCCCCTCTGCCCGCCCTCTCCCACGGGTGTCCCTCTGTATGGGTGCCATGGTGGCAAGATGTTTACTGACTCGCCTGATATGCAAGAGGTCATGGATTCGATCCCGACCCTGACTCCTGTTGTGTATTTGGAGTTTGCATGTCTCGCCCCGTGGTCGCGTGGATTTTTCTCCGGGTCCTCCCATTTTTCCCTTTCACATTTAGAATAAAAATGCGTTTGGCTGCTATATATTTCCACGCGATGAGCCACTTTGTTGAGCGATTATTTGTGGCCAGGTCACTTTTGAAAAAGAGCTGCATAGCTCAGTGGGCCTCACCTGGTAAAATAAAAAATTGTTTAGTTTAATCGTTTACTCTGCACGTTTGCGTTGTTCCACTCTGTTCGCCGGCGTTCTTCCAGATCAAGGTGAGTGCTGGTCGGTTTGGAGTCAGGAAAACCAGAACCCAACTTAGGATGTCGCAACAATGTCCTAAGTTTGTCTCAAGATGGGAGTTTTATCGTAACTCCCGAGTGAGTAAGAGAGTGTACGATATTGGTCTGTTCGTCAAGTTACGGTCTCACTCCGATATTTGCTTTCGTTTTCTCTTACAACGTTTTAGGATCGCAACTTTCAACCGTATGCGTTGTTATAAGTAGAACCAGGTCCGCGAGCGGGGAGCTCCCTGTTCAATGGTCACTACTGAGATTAACGGCTACTGGACATGTGTGGAAAAATAGCTTCATAGCTCATCGGATTCCTCCTACAGTATCAATAAATATTCTGATTCTGACTCGCTGTGTCCGGGAGCCCAGGGGTGGCTGGGAATCGTGAGACTTGGTGGTGAATGGGATCCGGCCTCCCCCCCCCCCTCCCAAGGATATCCTTGGCAGAGATGGGCAAAACACATTAAAATTACAAACTACTAGAGCAGTGTAATGTGGATAGGTTACCAATTACATTGAGATGTGTAATGAAGATACCAATTACAATGTACAAATGGAATGATATAATACTGGTCAACAAACAAAAAAAGATTTTTTTCTGGCCAGGACTTTTGCAGCTGTTTTAGACTAATTTCAGGGTGCTGATTCCAAATCTGATCTCAGATTTGCTCTATCACATCTCATTTTATGCTATTGGCATACCCCACTTTCATTGATTTTACCTGAAATTAACTCTGTCACTTATGATTGCAAGTTGTTGCGAGTCAGTGACTGCTTTAGTGTTAAAATATGGTGCTGTATTTTTAGGATAGTGTGTTTATAATATCATTTTATGTAGATATCCACATTTATTTAATATTTTTCTTCTGCAGTTTTTATTGAAAATGCAATATTTGATATCTCGAAAACCTGATGTGATAGACAAAAACTGATGCCAGATTTGGAATCAGCACCCCAAAATTACCTTAAACCCGTTAGAATACCTTTTGCCAGAAAAAGTGTGTTGACCAGTGTAATATATTTAGATTTCATGTAATTTGGATACTGCCAACCTCTGCCACCGCCTGGACTCTTTAGTGCTGCCCCGGCTGTCCCGGTTGCCCCTGGGGATGATCATTGCACTTGTTGTTGTCGTTGATGTTGGTGCTGGGTCTCGGTTTGCTTGGTGTCTCTTTTCTCTCCCGTGTTTCCCTGCTGTGATGACCCCACCCCCCCCTGCCCCCCCCCCCCCACCAACTCAACCACTCCCTACCCTCGTTTAGTTGTCTGGCAATTATTTTTAAGTGTCTGGAGATGCGGTTGCATGTAGATGCTGTGTACATTGAAATCGAATTTGTTGTCGTCGTCGTTGTTACGAGTGGCTTTATGATAACGTTGTTCATGTTGTTATTATCTTTTTTTTCTTCTTATTCTGTTTCTTCGTCGTCTTCTTCTTCTTTCATTCGCAGACCTCTCATGCCGGTCACGCTCAACCTGCGACAGATAATGCCGTCTTGGTAAGGCACGGATACGCGCACACAGCAACAAGACAAAGACAAAAAATCCCCCGTATAACCTTAATAGACTCTTGCTAGCGAGCGCCTATTAAGGCTGGCACGGGCACACGAGGAGGTGGGTGGCCCAGCACCGCGTCCGGCCGTCTTTGTCTCCCCAGTACTGATGTTTACACACCGCACTAGGTACTCATTTAAGGCTGAGTCTACCTAGGAGATGCCCAAGACTAGTTCAAATATTCGCTACTGTTATCGGTCGCGAGCGGTAATCGTACTCGGGTCGCTGGTTTAATAGCGCAATGCGACAACCACTACACAACGGCCCACACATAGTCAAGTCAATTTTATATGTGGTGCCTTGCTGGCACAAATTTGCCATTCAAAGCGCCATGACATTAATACTCAAAGAGACAAAGACAAGATCCCCCGCGTAGCCTTAACAGACTGTTTGGGGCAAGTTGCTGTTAGTGAGCACCTATGAAGGCCGGGATGGCACACGAGGGGGTGGGTAGCCATCACCATGCCCGGCCGCCTTTGTCTCCCCAGTAGCGATGTTGACGCACCGCACCAGATACCCATTTGAGGCTGAGTCGACCTAAGGGAGACCTGAACCGGTTCAGATAATCGTCACTGTTATTGGCCATGAGCGGGAATCGACCTCGGGTCGCCGGGTTCGTAGCGCAGCATGTTAACTGTTAAACTATCGCTCCCTACAAATACAAAAGCACACACACACACACCTGATAACGTGGGCCAGCAGTAGCGCATTCACCGCTCGTTGCAAGAGGTTCACGGTCTGGATCCAGCGGCCACCCTGGCTCGCCAGGAGATGGCAGCAGAACAGGCGGATTCATCTCCAAATTGTATGGGGGTGGGACGGGGGATAGATTGTTTCTCCCTTGCACTTGTGGGTTTTCTGCGGGCGCTCCTGCCACACTCATAAATACTCATTGTTGGAGCTGGTAATATTGATGGTGCCGGTTCTTACGGCTGACGTCCAGCTTAGTCTGTGGTTCCCCCCTCTGTGTCTATAAATCTAAAGCAATCTTGTGTGACAAATGTGTGAATTGAAATGGAGTCCATCACCTTTGACCTTTTCGCCGGTGAGTGACCTTTGGCTCTCAAATTATGATCCCTGGCACAGGTTCGACATCATCGGCCTGAGCCCTGACGCAACGGAGGACGAGGATGGGATCAAGAGAGCGGCCGAGACCGGTTCGTCTTAATCATGAATGTTTAGCGCGTAGGCTTTTGCAACCAACATTATTCATAGTAAAGTGTTTTTTGGTTAGATCGCATGAATATAATTGTGCCGTTAACCCACCACCACCACCCGACACAACCAAATTTTGTCATGTAAACAAAACTACTTCAGCACACCCGGCGTGTTGGGTGAAGAGACCCACAATATTTACAATTTGAGTACGACGTTTCGCTGGTGATTAATGCAAATTCACAGCTCCTTTGCCAATCCACAGTAATAATATTTACGATGGATTTCTTGTGTAGAATGTGTGCGGCGAGTGGCTGACAGGTTAAAGAGGCGCAGGGGCAAAGCCCGAGTATCACTCGAGCGCTCGGTTCCTGTCTGGACGTTGCCTTATGCTGTCTGTCTGATGGCACAGTGGATCGGCAATGTGGCTGTGATTGTGTACGTGTGTGTGTGTGCGTATGTACGACTATTTGTGGGGAGCGGCAGCGTGGTTATTAACACGTTGCGGTATGAACCCTTCGGCCCGTTCACGGCCAACACCAGTGATGAATATTTGAACTCGACCTGTGCCTGCCCTAGGTCGACTCAGCCTCAAATGAGTGCCTGGTGCGATGTGTAAACATCACTACTCGGGTAACAGGCGGTCGGGCGTGGTGCTGGCCCACCCATCCCTTTGTGTACTGTACCGGCCTTCATAGGTGCTCGCTAGTAGCACTTGCCCCAACAGTATGTTAAGGCTATACAGGGAATCTTCATCGTTGTGCATGCCCCCTATATGTGTGTGGTGTGTTTGTTTGTTCTAGTTCGGGGTCTGATAGAGCAGGAGATTAAAGCCGGGATCCCGTCTCACCGCATCGTACTGGCCGGATTCTCACAGGTACAGCAGCCGTCGCACGCACCCACCCCGCGCACCTTATCTGCGCTGTCATTCCCTTTCACGAGCTTTCTTCAGCACCACGAGGACGTCTGTCTTCCACACGTGCCTCGTGCGTTAGACGTTGCACGTCGCGCCCATTGCGACGCTTATTTCGAGACACGCGTGTTTCAAGATGCACGCTTGGCGTGATATACGTGTGTTGCGGTGTGCAATGGCGTGTGTTGTGCTGCACGGGTTGTGGCGCGCACAGGGTGGCGCTCTGTCTCTCTACACGGCGCTCACAAGTCGGCACAAGCTGGGCGGGGTGGTGGCTCTGAGCTGCTGGCTGCCCCTCCGAGACTCGTTCACACAGGTGACACCCTCGTTACCAACACCACCATCACCAACACCACCATCACCAACACCACCATCACCAACACCACCAACACCACCAACACCACCACCACCAACACCACCATCATCAACACCACCATCGCCAACACCACCATCGCCAACACCACCATCGCCAACATCACCAACACCACCATCGCCACCATCGCCAACATCACCATCACCAACACCACCATCACCAACACCACCAACACCACCATCACCAACACCAAAACCACCACCAACACCACCATCACCAACACCACCAACACCAACACCACCATCACCAACACCACCATCACCAACACCACCATCACCAACACCACCATCGCCAACATCACCATCGCCACCATCACCAGTATCACCAACATCAACACCACCATCACCAACACCACCATCACCAACACCACCATCGCCAACATCACCATCGCCACCATCACCAGTATCGCCAACACTATCAATCACCAATATCGCCATCACCAATTCCATCCCCAATATCACCACCACCAATTCCATCACCACCATCAGCAATATCCCCACCAATAATACCGCCGCCAACATCACCGCCATCACCACCGTCAAACACAATTACCGTACGCGGTAACTTTTGTGAGTGCCTGGTGCAGTGTGTCAACATCCGCGGTGGGGAGACAGAACAACACAGGTGTTGTACTATATTCTTAGGTTTTTTTCGGTTAAAGTCACGTAGGTAAAACATTAAAAAAGTAAAATAAAATAAAAAATAAAAATCACGACGTTTCGGAGGCAACACAAGCTTCCGTCTTCAGGTGGGACCATCACAGCCACGACAGCTGTATCAAGTAAATGAGAGATTGCAGGAGCTACCACTCCGTTTATATAATGATTGGAGAAGGTGGTGGGGCAAGGGCCGCATACTTTTGTTGTACTGTCCACACCGCCTCCTCGTGCACCATGCACACCTCGCTAACAGCACTTGCCACAACAGTCTGTTAGCGGCTACACGGGGGACCTTGTTCTTACTTGTGTCCGTACGTGTGCGGTCGTCGGGCGAGCGGTGGCGCAGCGGTTAGCGCACTGCGCTACGAGCCCGGCGGCGAATAGACTACCTTGAAATTCCTGCTCGTGACCAATAACAGTAGCGAAATATTTCACCCAGTCCCCTGGGCCTCTGCTAGGTTGAGTAGCTGTGCCCAGACAAAGGAAGCTGGGCATGGTGTTGGCCACACCGACCCCTCAGGGGCTCCGCGAGCGGCACTTGCCTCGACAGTTTGCTCAAGGCTACACGGGGCATCTTTGTCTTTGTGTATACAGTTAGGTCGACTCAGCTTTACACATTGACACCTCGTGCGGTGTGTCGGGAACATCATCAGCACTAGGGAGACAAAACGTGGCCGGGCAGAAGTTGTGCGGTCCATACGGCCTCGCTCATTAGGTGTTGCCTGCGGCTCCCCATTGTGAAAGACCCAACAGAGAAAGTCCTGGTATTTATCATGGCCTACCTTAATCTGCATCCGTGTAAACATGCTGCACAAATGGAAAATTTCACAACTTTCCAGTGTGCGACTGTGGTCATTCCACAACAGACACAATGCCCGACCCACCAATCGAAGGAGACGTCGCAGCGATACACTCCGCTACTCCTGACGCGGTTATCTGGCTGACCACCTGGATGTGAAATCGTAGTTGTTGCTCTGCGTCTACATCAGCCATAAGAAAAAAAGAAGAGATTAGGTGCGCAGTTCTGACCGTCCTCAGTTGCTCGCCGACAGCAACCTGCGCCAACGGCATCTTTGTCTTCTTGGTTCTTTCGGTAAAGTCACGTAGAAGGGAAATAATAAAATAATAGAAATAAAACATATAAAATATTATCACGACGTTTCGGCCACAAACGCAAGCAGCCGTCCTCAGGTGAAGAACAGGTCTTGTCGGGAAGACGCTGTCTTCACCTGAGGACGGCTGCTTGCGTCGTGGCCGAAAACGGTCGTGAGAGTTATTTTATTATGTTTATTTTTACTATTTATTATTTCCTTCCACGTGACTTTACCGAAAGAACCAAGAAGATTAATTCCTGCAGTCACGAAGCTTTAACATCGAAAGTAACGGCATTCTTGTCCTTTTGGTTTGGCGGCCACAGTCGGACGGGACGCACGCCGGCGTGCCGGTCCTGCAGTGCCACGGCGAGGCGGACCTCCTGGTGCCACCGCTCTTCGGGCAGCTCACGGCCGACAAGCTGCGCTCCCTCCTGGGCCCCGACGCCGTCACCTTCAAGACGTACCGTGGCCTGGGACACTCGTCCACGCAGGAGGTGTGGGGGGGGGGACCGGGGGGGGGGGTAGCGAGCCCCCCTAACGCACGCACGAGACCAAACGATTGTCCAACGACGGCAGCAGCTTAATCGCTCGCTCACTCGTGATCAATAGAGCGCTCGTTCACTCGCCCACTCTCGCGGTCAAGCTCGCTCGCTATCTCTCATGATCGGTCGGTCACTTGCTTGCACTATTGCTCATTTGCTCACCCACCCTCATTATCGATCATTCATTCGCTCACTCGCTCACCCACAATCTTATTTGAGCAATCCCTCCCATCCATGCAAGAGTTGGCGAGAGTGGCGATTTGCTAAACCATCTTCCGATGGCTTAGTCGCTCATTCGTGTGAATGCTCAGTTACTCCCTCGCTCACTCTCACGTTTGCTCAATCACTCGCTCGCACGCAACGTTCTACTCGATTGCATTGCAGCCAAAAGTCTGATGAAAAAACCCCCACGTTCACTGAGGTGTGGATCGTGCCCTAAATGTTTGATTTTTGTCTGAGCGATTGTGATTATTTCTCTTCCCTTTC